CATAAACCATTGGAAAACTTTTATCACAAATAGTCTAATTCTTGACATTAATTACATCTCTATAGGCGATCTACACAAATTCCTACCTCATCATTCATTGTACTAATTGGCGTTCATCATGTAGGGTATATGTTCAACTCTGAGAACACTGATATTCTCTGCGTGTTTAAAATATACATCATATATCCTCATAGTTTGAGATGTGACCATTGTCGATATTCACCAAACGATTGATCTTTTGTCAATCTATCAAGTTGTAATTTATTGGTTTAATAGTTTTGAATATCAGTTGCAACTTCATATCTGTTCACTTTTCTCTTGATGATTATCAACCATACTTGTTTTCTGTTTTTCAATTTACATAAGGAATAGGATGAGTCAATTGTCTCCGCGATGTTCATATATTCCAAGAGAAAAATCTCCATATTCAATATCTAGTCTTGATGAAAATGAAATAGATGAAGTTCGAAAGAATTTAGATCATCTTAAATCATTATTGATACAAGTTAAAAATCAACTCAATTCTTCACCCAATGATGAAGATGATGATGATAATATGATTGATGAAAGATTCTTTCCAAATACTTCTACTGAATTGAGTCTTTTACAGACTACTGAAGAGAATACTGTAGAATATGCAGAAAAGATTGATGATTCATGTCGAAATTTGCCTCATTATACTACATTTTCTGTGAAAAATTCACACGAATATACAGTGAGAAATTGATGACTATCAAATTTTAATCATATTTAACTACTTATATCGATGAAAGTAGTTAGAAAGAATTGTGTTAATTAATTTCTATGACATAAAGATCAAGTTTGTTTTTTTCTTTTTAAGTAAGTGGTTTCTTAAAATATCATTCATCTCATTATAATTAGCATTGGTATGTATGACATCTATCGTATCAGTGTCCATCCTAACTTTACTCTTTAATTGTAAGCAATGATGGATGGTGGCTAGCAGTGGCTTCCAGTTTGACGTGCGTTTCTTCCTATTTTGGACTCGTCTGCTGGATGTACCTGCATTTCAGAGAGTTGATGTTCACTCTGGCATTCGAACCCAGTACCATTCACTTCGCACGCCATCGCGATCGGTGTTTGCGTATACGTAACACGTGTCCCAGTGATCTCAACCAATGAAGTTTCACTAATCCATCAAATGATTTGTCATACTTATCTAGTACTCATTTCCTAATAACTGGATTACTTACTCGGTGATCCCAGGATATACGATCAATGATTCAAAGACACACATGATCAAGTACTAGTAACATTAATATCTAAATAATACTGGAGATTAGTTTCAATCTTAGTAGCTCAATATCAGCTTCTTTGACATATATTCGCTAATATGGATTCAATGTACTCACAGAACGTCAATCCCCTCAAGATTACAGATATTTCATACTATCAAGTTCTACATATTATAAGTAGTTGGATAATGACGGCTCCTAACTGATTGTCCCCTACTATTTGACACTGTTAAATGATAATTCCATACACATCATGTTAAGTGAATATCGAACCAATTAGGAAGGTTGTGCAGTAATTTTAAAAGTATTTTATGGAAATTATTCACTTACAAACAGATCACTCAAGCGTAATCCTAGAATGACATAAAAAATTAGTGACATATTTTCATAATTAGATAACATAATGAATAAGGGATATGTTGATATGGAGAGCTAATCAGAAGTAGTCTAAGGCGAAGTTCAACCGATGGCAATCAGAAATCACCTGAAAGACATTTTCATTTGATTGTCTGTGAAATGGATCAATTACCTAAGCCTTAGAGTGGTACATATATGAATGAGTACTGATGATAGTTTTTCTTGAATAAAAGGCAGCATTTGACTCCGTGGATCGAGAGGTGCTGTGACATTATCTGCCATTGAAAGGCTCACATCAGAAGTACATAAACTTTGTGAAAGCTCTTTACTCGAACACTACTAGCCGAGTAAGAGCTTATGGCGAACTGTCATCTGATTTTGCAACCTCAAGTGGAGTCCGTCGAGTCTGTCCACTTTCTCCATTTCTGCTTAACTTCATCATAGGCCTACTGATGGAAATAACATTCTCGTCGACTGAATTCTCAGGTATTGATCTCCTTCCAAGAATTCCACTTATCGACTCACAATACGCAGATCATATCGTCCTGTTCGGTGAAGACACTTGCTGATTCGTAAAGAAATGAACGAGCGGACGGCGATCGTTCCACTGAGATAAGAGATGTAATCAGTAGTCCGTTTCTATGAATTGAGATATAGCTAAAATACAATGTGATACATGTATATATGTTTGTTACCAGTGTTTGACCAGCTGCAATGTTACCGTACAATAATGTAGATCTATGATACACATTTGAACAAAATACAAATACAGGTAACCAAGCGAATGAAAAGTCATGAACATTGGACCCCAGAGTTTTATAAATACAACAACAGTGATTGATTTCAATTGACTTTCCTTAAGAGAAGTAGTAATCTTCTATAACATCAAAATTTTAATCATTTTGTCAGTCACATGAATAGATTATTACGAAGCGAAATATTTCATTCTAACTAAGATTTATATTACACCCACTAAACAGAATAGAGTATAGACAATACCATATGGTCTCATTATGAGATGGAATGAGGTGATAATTGACAACAAAGTATGATCATTAGTGTTTCTATAAATAAAAGAGGTCAACAGAAATATGTTTGTTAAGAAAAAGCACACGTTGTCTACACTGAAATTGAAGAAAGAGTAATCAATTCTACTTTGAAATTGTTATTGGATGTAAGAGGAATGATGATAGAACATGGTGTGTTGTTGTATTCAATGCGGTGAACTGGACAGAATCCCTAAATTCTTATATCATATTCCTAAATGCACACAGTTCAGAGGTGCTTGTTTCATTAGCAAGAGCCACATATATAAGAAGGTCAGTGTGTGCTGCTTCGATCTCCGGTGGACTCAATAAAGCTCGTCTATTCAAGAGTTGCTTGAAGTATTCCTTCGATCTATTCCTCTGATATTCAATCTCATTGATTGACTTGAATACTTTGTTCTTTACCGGTCACCCTGGTTTACTATATTTTCCTGCCAGTTTCTTTGTCGTTTTGTATAGTTGATTTATGTTTCTTGCAGCTACGGCTTCATCTGCTCTGGTTTCTGGGTGCTCCACGTACGCTTGCTTGTTGGTTGTAATGCTCCTCTTCTCTTGCTATTTTGCTTCCGTTTATTCAGATCGGTCATTGATTTCCTATGTTATTGTTCAGCTGTTGCTGATTGGTTTTTCCCTGTTTCTTTTGATCTTGATTTGTCTTATTCTATGCAGTGTGATCCGGTGAGACCCGTGTAGCTTTGTGAATGCATTTGTGGGGTGATGTCATGATGTCTATAATTAGTTTGTTGAATGCACATAGATTTACAAATCTCTCTCCATCTTCATTTTTTACTTCTGAGAGATACACGTCGTGTTTTACGCTATGCAACTCATCCAGTGTATGTAAATCTACCAGGAGTGTGAGAAAACAGAAATCACAAAAACACTTATTCTTATCATAAAACATGAAGTTAGTTGAACAATACAACGGAGATAGTCGATGATTGATGTGTTTATTCATAGCTGAAGCAAGACCATTTATGAATTGACAACCAGAACATTTGCTTTCACTTCATCTTCATTTTAGCAAAGTAGTAATTATATGTAAAATGAGAATTTCACCCATCTTTGATGTCAGTCAAATAAACAAACAACATTCATTTGACACCCACGATACACAATAGAGAATACCATATTATCTTTTGATTAATGAGATAGACTGAGGTGATCAATGATAAACAAAGTATAATCATAAACAAGAAACAGGTCAACGCAAATATGTTTTTGTTCATTAGACAAACACGTAGTTTACACTGAGATGGAAGAAGGAGCAATCAATTTTACTTTGAAAATGTTATCGGATGTAAAGAGAAATGATGATAGAACGTGGTGTGATGTTGTATTCAATGAGATGAATCAGATAGAATTCTCAATTGTCTTCGCAAATCTTATTCCTCACTGCATACGATTTACAGGTTTGTGGTGTTTGTAAAAATTGATGATCCTTTTGTACTTCTGGACTGTTTGATTTCGAATTTCGAACAAAATAAGTTCGTCTGTTCTCATCTAGCTGTCGAGCAATATATTTCAATCTTTATCAGGAAAGATGACTGGTGACTAGCGATGAAATCCATGATTCGCTTTTCTCCTTATTTGTGAATCATCAGCTGGATATACCTACATCCCATAATTGATGTCACCTCTGTGACTCGAACCCAGTATCATTCGGTTCAAGCGGCATCGTCTTATTCATTCAGTTTGATTTGTGTCTTGAATAATCGAAATCTACACAGATTGAATATTGTGATATTTTGCTATTCACTCATCATTTATTAATCTGATTTAGTCAACAATATGTTGAATGATAATTCGATTCCCGGAAAATTGTATCATTCAGAGAGTACTGGTGTTATGCAGGTAATGTGATTCAGGAGAGTATTTTTTCACCAAAGTCACATTATTCTATAAGTTTCCTAGTTCTAATAATTCCTAACTGAAATTAATCTGCTTCTAATTGCCTGCAGACTTCAATATTGTAGAGATTCACGAAGTGATCTGGAAGATTTCCTAATAGCTTCATAGTGGTATTCATGATCAGGATGCTTTCGAAAATGGTGATTCGATCTACTACAAAGTGGCAAGTATTTAATTATAAAGTGAAGATGAACATGAAGTTCGGCTTCAGTCACTTCTGTTGGACATTACTGACTGATTTCTTTACTACTTATACAAATATCAGTAGCTTCAAACAGTGCATCAAAACACCATAGTACAATACATGGTCTAATGCATACGAATGTTCAGATTAACTCAACTATACTATTAAGATGTCGTTTTCCTCTTCACATTCAAAAAGATCTTGAGGAAAATCATAGAGAATATTAAGTGGAGTAGTGCAGCATACATGTCACAAGTTTCTTCATCATCATCATCATCATCATCATCATCATCATCATCATCATCATCATCATCATCATCATCATCATCATCATCATCATCATCATCATCATCATCATCATCATCATCATCATCATCATCATCATCATCATCATCATCATCATCATCATCATCATCATCATCATCATCATCATCATCATCATCATCATCATCATCATCATCATCATCATCATCATCATCATCATCATCATCATCATCATCATCATCATCATCATCATCATCATCATCATCATCATCATCATCATCATCATCATCATCATCATCATCATCATCATCATCATCATCATCATCATCATCATCATCATCATCATCATCATCATCATCATCATCATCATCATCATCATCATCATCATCATCATCATCATCATCATCATCATCATCATCATCATCATCATCATCATCATCATCATCATCATCATCATCATCATCATCATCATCATCATCATCATCATCATCATCATCATCATCATCATCATCATCATCATCATCATCATCATCATCATCATCATCATCATCATCATCATCATCATCATCATCATCATCATCATCATCATCATCATCATCATCATCATCATCATCATCATCATCATCATCATCATCATCATCATCATCATCATCATCATCATCATCATCATCATCATCATCATCATCATCATCATCATCATCATCATCATCATCATCATCATCATCATCATCATCATCATCATCATCATCATCATCATCATCATCATCATCATCATCATCATCATCATCATCATCATCATCATCATCATCATCATCATCATCATCATCATCATCATCATCATCATCATCATCATCATCATCATCATCATCATCATCATCATCATCATCATCATCATCATCATCATCATCATCATCATCATCATCATCATCATCATCATCATCATCATCATCATCATCATCATCATCATCATCATCATCATCATCATCATCATCATCATCATCATCATCATCATCATCATCATCATCATCATCATCATCATCATCATCATCATCATCATCATCATCATCATCATCATCATCATCATCATCATCATCATCATCATCATCATCATCATCATCATCATCATCATCATCATCATCATCATCATCATCATCATCATCATCATCATCATCATCATCATCATCATCATCATCATCATCATCATCATCATCATCATCATCATCATCATCATCATCATCATCATCATCATCATCATCATCATCATCATCATCATCATCATCATCATCATCATCATCATCATCATCATCATCATCATCATCATCATCATCATCATCATCATCATCATCATCATCATCATCATCATCATCATCATCATCATCATCATCATCATCATCATCATCATCATCATCATCATCATCATCATCATCATCATCATCATCATCATCATCATCATCATCATCATCATCATCATCATCATCATCATCATCATCATCATCATCATCATCATCATCATCATCATCATCATCATCATCATCATCATCATCATCATCATCATCATCATCATCATCATCATCATCATCATCATCATCATCATCATCATCATCATCATCATCATCATCATCATCATCATCATCATCATCATCATCATCATCATCATCATCATCATCATCATCATCATCATCATCATCATCATCATCATCATCATCATCATCATCATCATCATCATCATCATCATCATCATCATCATCATCATCATCATCATCATCATCATCATCATCATCATCATCATCATCATCATCATCATCATCATCATCATCATCATCATCATCATCATCATCATCATCATCATCATCATCATCATCATCATCATCATCATCATCATCATCATCATCATCATCATCATCATCATCATCATCATCATCATCATCATCATCATCATCATCATCATCATCATCATCATCATCATCATCATCATCATCATCATCATCATCATCATCATCATCATCATCATCATCATCATCATCATCATCATCATCATCATCATCATCATCATCATCATCATCATCATCATCATCATCATCATCATCATCATCATCATCATCATCATCATCATCATCATCATCATCATCATCATCATCATCATCATCATCATCATCATCATCATCATCATCATCATCATCATCATCATCATCATCATCATCATCATCATCATCATCATCATCATCATCATCATCATCATCATCATCATCATCATCATCATCATCATCATCATCATCATCATCATCATCATCATCATCATCATCATCATCATCATCATCATCATCATCATCATCATCATCATCATCATCATCATCATCATCATCATCATCAGCATCATCATCATCATCATCATCATCATCATCATCATCATCATCATCATCATCATCATCATCATCATCATCATCATCATCATCATCATCATCATCATCATCATCATCATCATCATCATCATCATCATCATCATCATCATCATCATCATCATCATCATCATCATCATCATCATCATCATCATCATCATCATCATCATCATCATCATCATCATCATCATCATCATCATCATCATCATCATCATCATCATCATCATCATCATCATCATCATCATCATCATCATCATCATCATCATCATCATCATCATCATCATCATCTACGGCACCAGGAGCAGTTTGGCAAGTTATCAATCCATATTGATTGCCACATAAGTTGATAATCATTGTTCACTAGGTGAAAGATGGTTTTTGGTTATGATCAAGATACATTGAGACAAATATTTGATGGAAAGAATACACTGGTTGAATCTGAAGACGAATGCTAGTGATTACACACGGGCTTACCTTTCCGCAACAAAATACCCTCTTACAATGTTGACTGGTTTGTACAAATATCCATTGCACTCACTTTTACTGTAAATTTAGTTAGTTCGATAATTGTTTCTGCTTTATCCAATCTGATGAATTAATGTATATATCGGTGGGATTGAAGCAAAGAACAAATTCTTAGTTGAACCCAGAATGAACTGTATTTCAACGAGTGGTGAATTCTGAGTTGAAGTGTATATGTAACATTCACTATTTTGATTATCATAAAGCTGTTCTTCCAGTGAATTGATTTCTGACGATCACATTACAATTCACTTGATAAAACGATATTCAACATTAAAAACTGTGATCAAATACTGAGATTATAGAGAGAAGATCTGTTGCTCAGAAGGTTGATGTTGTATCTTTTCAAGTAACTTATTTAATAGTTGCTCTATAATCATGCTCTCTTCCATGTTCTATGTGCCGTGTGCTTGACTTCTCTATTGGAGCTCAGGCAATTCAAGTCCATCACAATCGTCATTCATCATCATTCATTGTTCATCTGTGTTGCTCAGTATTATCATTTCGTTTTGACTGCAGTTATTTACATTGTTACTGCTAACAATGATATTTTCATGCATTTTACGGTCAAACTATTCCATCACTAAATATCTATAGATATACTTAGAATATATAACACTATCATTCAAGTTTATTTGACATTCAATAATTCTTGATAATCAAGGGATTATCTTATTTATTTTACAAATAAATGTAAACCATCAGTGCATTAATCCCATGTGTGAACTGACTGATTACCTGAGTCATGTTTGTTTAATGCTTTCATTGTAGCGTCACCATCAGTCTTGTCGTTGCATATTATAAGGTTCAATGTTCAGTAATTGAAAGCAATCGAGAGGAGCCTATAAACGTGTGCATCGTGTTAGTTGACAATGATCAAAAAGATGTATCACTTAACTTTAGGGAACTAACGGTGGTTGTAAGATGAGAATCTAAGTCTCTTTCCATCTGGAACTAGACCATTAGGTGTTTCGAGAATTATCTGAACTCTAAAGAATGCAAAAACAAAACATTGATGTAACTAATCTCACTCACACAGAGAGCTTAATTAGCTCGGTAGTATTTCTTAGTCAAATAAACAATATAAAAATTTCGGTAGGTAGGAAAAACAGTGAGAAGATTAAATAAAAGGAGAAAATGGTGAATAGAACAATCCAACAAAGATGATGACGATAATGACAACATCGACACATGCACACACACACTCACACATGCTTATTTACATGTTACCAGATTTTAAAGATTGTCAGTGTTCGCTAATTATAGGCAAATATATCAGTGTCTGTGTGTTCAAGCAAAGAAACTCGACAACAACTTCACATCAAACTAAAGTGTACTAATACATGGAATCAGCCAAATTGGAGACTAGTTAAAAAATCAGACGTGATATCAGGTCCTCCGTTGAACTGTGTTGGTTGACAAGTCATGCTGATGCTACAATGTGGAATATTGGTACGTAAATACTAATATGCGTCAAACGTGTTGAGCGAAGATGACATGACTAGTCAGCAATCAAACAAGTTCAAATAATATCCTAAGTGACCTGCTCTTATAAGTGAAACTTGTATTTAATCATTTTGTTTCCTACAATGTTATATCATTGTGTTAAACCTGTCATTGTCTTGTATTTACGAAAAGTCAATGTCGAAGATGGTATCAGATTTATTTAAAAGATGAACTATGTAGGTTTGTGTCTGGTTTGACGGTATATTATTGTTGAAGGAGTGTGTTGTATCCGAGCAAAGATTAAATCACGAGTTATTTCGGAGACAGATTAATGGACTAATATACATAAGCCACGATAATTGCCGGTGATTTTGGAGTTAAAATTATTATTAGCAGGAAACAAAATGCCGATTTCTTTAGAACAGTTGCAGTTAAAATTGCAATAGCAACAACAACAGCACCAACAGATGTTAACATAGTGTGAATGAAATCATGTATGAGGGAAATTGGAAGTGAAAATCGTCAGAAAGACAGCAAACTAATGGCTCGATAAGGCACGGGAAACATGTACGTTTAGAAATAAGAGTCATCGATGACAAACACTCAAACACGAGCGTTGATACATGAGATTCGATATTGGAAGTAGTTGAAGAGAGATATCCAAAATGTTGAATAGATGATCCTACTGAAGCAACGTATATTCTAATGCCCAGTTGTATTTGAAATCTGTTAAGTATAAGCTATATGGGATTACGAGTAATTGGACAGTTGTTAATTCCATCACATTATCAAACGAAATTTAACCTACTTCATTGCAACTAGAAACGGATAGAGTGGAATTAGTTACGAAATAAAAATGTTCACTAGATAAATGTTGGTCAACAAAAGAAGTTTACATAAATTCATTAAACGAGCAGGATCAGAGATGCAGAACGGTATTTATAAGTGGAGTAGTAACAATATGATAAATTGGATGAAGTTAGAGTAGTAAATCAACTGATGCACCGTACAAAATGTCTGCAGATCTTGGTTTTGTAGTAGTAGTAGTAGTAGTAGTAGTAGTAGTAGTAGTAGTAGTAGTAGTTGTTGTTGTTGTTGTTGTTGTTGTTGTTGTTGTTGTTGTTGTTGTGCAACACCATGTTTACGTGAACTGAGACTGCCGAACAAACGTTAAACCCTATCTAAAACCTACTAAATCTCGGCATGGATTCAGAAACGCCGTCTGTTATATGCCAACTTATGTCATCTCTGGCGAAGGAGAGATATCTGTCTATCAATTAAGGGACAGATATGCTGTGCAGCAGTTCGTTCTGATCTACATTACGGCTGCGAAGATATTCGTAAGTTACTAATATTTGACCACGTATCCCTTAGAAATATTGCTCTCATCTGCTGCGATCATCGGGTAAGTAATAGTGAGGTTACACGCAGGGCATTAGAGAACGATGGTGAATCAGTTGATGACGTCATGAATCTTCATCGATTGACATCGTTGGGTCAAGTGTTACGAATGCATGAACACCGATTACCACAACGTGCGACGCTGACTAGTGTTGGTGATGGTTGGAAGAATGTTAAGGGTGGCCAAACCAAAACGTGACATCACTCATTGAAATCACTGAATTCTGGTGTGAGCCATGTTGGTAGATAAAGACTACTTTGTTGGTGTCTGTGTGACTATCATAACCAATAGTTGGAGATTGTGGGTGACATGACTCAGAATCGACCGATCACAATGGTATGGGTGTATACACACTCTGTCTACCCTGAAACTGTGAGATTGAAATCGCTTCATATCTTTCTTTGTACCAACTAATCCTTTTTTTCTGTACTATATTCCTATATAAATATTTCTCTTATTTATTACCACGATTGAATTAAATACTTCTATGGATTCTGTGTTGGTCTTGCTGTGCTAATGAGGTATGGCCACTTGAACTGATACATATATGTGCCTGATCCTACTTTGTAAGTGACTGACTGACAAATGCATTTTATTCGCTAGTTCAACATACTTTCACACTCAAGTAGTCAGTTGGGACGTTATAGCGCCTATCAACTCGTCTATCAGTATCAGATTTCGGACACCGCCCCTTACAATATATATTGACCAGACTGTAAACACGTTACGTTCAAGAGGTAGGTTCATAACAGTCTATCACCTCATAGTAACTAGTATCACTTTCACTAGACAACAGTACATACACCTATATAAATGATCTGATGTTGAAGTTTTATTTATCCGATTTAAGACGTTTGAAGATAATCAACTAATAGTCCTAGATCTAAGTTTCATCCTGTCCAAAACGTATTATCTGACATTTTGACAAGAATGATATTCTTAAAAGTTTCTGTCCAACATCACTGAGTGTTACAGATGTAGTATTCATTACACGACAGACCATATGTAGAACTATGACATTCATACTAAGTGATAGAATAAGATCATATCAATCAAAAATTTTTATAAGAAGGATTCCTTAAGGATATTATAGTAATTTCAATAGTTCAATTCATGAATCAATTGAAGTTAAACCACCATGAAAAACATGAAAGCATTGGATAGCCATTTCGTCCTATTATAGGACTCCTCAACACTGTGTATCCACAATCCAGAGATTGATATGTCTTGGGTTCAAATCTTGCTAGGCGAGAAATCCTATCGATACTAACCAGTCAAATTATTAGGTTTTACTCTGTTATAGACTCTAACGACATATATATATATATATATATATATATATATATACATCAAATATGTCCGATCAGCTCCATCTTCTCATTGTTCTATCAAAATTTGTAAAAGGGAATAATTATTTCGTTGATACCACCACCACCACCACCACCACCACCACCACTACTACTACTACTACTACTACTACTACTACTGCTACTACTACTACTACTACTACTACTACTACTACTACTGTAGTCTTCATATTACCGGTACAAATTTATGTAACAAACGTTTAGTCAATTACAGTTTGAAATAATCAAGGAAATATTACCTTAGTTATTCTCAACATGTTTCTGAATTGCACAATTTACTTTCATATTATCGAAAATCACTATTTTACATATGTAATCAAAACATAAATATTGTTGGATTTTTCTAATGAAATGATTAGTGATTTACGAAAGTATAGAATGTTATTCACTCTACTGATCGAAACCATGAGTCAATTGAATTTTGACCACCATGGAAAACCTGGGAGCACTAGACGGCCGATTCATCATAGTAAGGGGCTCCTCAGCAGTGCACATCCACGATCTCTCTCCTTCGTGTTATTCGAAACCAGGACCTATCAGTAACGCGTGCATGAAACCCTTTCTGATAATAATCATTTGCTCACTAGTGACTGA